GCCGGGGGCGGGAGGGGGCACGAAGGGGTGGCGGCGGGCCCGCGGGGCGGCTCCTGACCATTGCCTGAGTGTGATCATCCTGTAAACCTTGTGTCCCAGACTTTCCGGTTGGCTGTCTGTCCTTCCGTTCAGTCTGGCTCTGCCCTCATGTTGAATTTGTTAATTACTTTGTTGCTAAAACAAAACTAGAACAACCGCTCCCTGCCTCGCGGGACCCTGGGTGGCAGCTGGGGCTCCCCCTTCTTTGCTGAACCCGGCGTCCAGGGCTCTGCCGAGCTCCTCAAAGACCCTGTGTCTCCTGCCCCAGAACTCCCAGCCCCTTGGAGCCAGGGCTTGTGGGCGCATAGGACCGTCAGCCCTGGCCACTCTTGTGGGGGAAAGGGGGACCCACGCAGGTGGACAGCTGCATCCAAGCTGAGCACAGCGACAGACTGAAGTGACAGCCGCAGGGACCCTGTCAAGGTGGGGTTGGCATTTCACAGGACCTCGCAGAGATTGAGAAATGTGTCGGAGGCCCTAGCTGAGATGCATTTGTCTTGCCCCAGAGCCTGGACTCGTCTCAGCATCGTGTGCTAACCACCCCAGCATGTGCCCCGTGGACCAGGAGATGATTGCAGGTTCCTGGGGTGGATCCTAGCCAACAGAAACGGAAACACTGGCGGGTTAGTCCAGGGTGGACGGTCTGCCTGCGCCTCGGAACCATCTCTCAAGCCAGGAGGGTGAGGTGGCACCAGCCTCCTGCACATTGCTCTGGGTCACGGCTGCCTCCTTCATGTGTATTCCTCTCCCTCTATGATTATCTTCTCTCTGGCCGACTTGATGGCAGACACCCCGTCTGTCTCATTCGCCTGTGTGTCTGTGATGCCCTGGCCGCAGCGTGGCACACAGTAGGTGCTCACGAGCTCCTTGTTATTGCTGCAGCTTGGCTGTCCCCCGAGGCAGGTGTCGGGCTGCACGCTCACCATTGTCTGTCAGCACCGAGAATGGTGCGTGGCATGCAGGAGGCACTCAATAATGGTGAATGAGTGGCTGAAAGTCTGAAAGTGAGTAGAGCGGGTAAAGGGCATCCATAACCCCACTCGGTAGCACCACGGAGAGACGTGGGACATGGCTCCTTGCCTTGCCTCCCTGGCTCTGTGACCTTGAGCGATGGTCCGCTTCTCGTGTGACCCCTGGCTCCCCTGAGTGCAGGGAGACCCTCCAGCTTGGGCCTGGCCAGTGATGCTCTGTGGACATGCGGTGAACCGGGTTCGCAGAGATGGAACTTCAGCTGCTCCGAGGAGCTCGTAGGGCCTTGGAAACTCGATAGGGTTAGAAGTGAAGCACTCTTTCTTCCCCTTGGTTTTCTTTCTCAGATGACCCTTTTTCTTTTCTATAATGTGAATGGGTGGTGGTTTTTCTTTGTGCCAGGAAGGCAAAGTGGTATATTTTGGTGTGGAATGTACCCTGATGTTGCAGAATTAGCCTGCAGCCCTTCCTGAAAGCACAGAGATGCGTGACTCCTTCCCTGGTCGTGTTGGGGCACCACCGTAGCACACATGTTCCTAATGCACGTTTAATGCATGCATTCCATTAAACACAGGAGGGCCAGGGAGTGACCCAGGTCAGAATTCGTGTCGTTTGTATGTCCAGAGGGCCTGCGTTCACACGTCGGGCCTCAGAATGGTGATGACAGGCCTCTTCCCGGCGTGGGGTATCGTGTGGTATCACAGAGGTGGGTGGGGTGGAGAGGACCCCCACATGGCACAGCCCGGGGACCTGCAGGAAGGAGGCACAGGCCATGATAACCATGCAGATAAAGATAATCAGCTGCACTCAGCATCTTCTACCGCAGGGACTCGGTGCACGCTCACAGCACAGGGTTAGTCCAGTGGGGTGGGAAGTAGTGGGGCCAGTTGGGGGGGAGTAGATGCTCCAGGGTCGGGACGAGAAAGAAGCCACGGGGTCTGGCTTGGGGAAGGACCCTCGGGTGAGGGTCAGTCTGAGTCCCTCGCGGGCTCCCGCTCACTCCTTCTCTTCCTTTTCTCTCTGCATTCAGCATGATCTACACGCTAGTGAGCTCTTAACTCAGACCGCGCACGTCCTCCGAGGCTGAGTTCGCGGGAGCCGGGCCCAGACGGGGACGCGTGAGAGACAGCTGCGGACTGAGGGTTCCTGCAGCAGTGGTGGGCCAAGGGGCCGCTGCCCAGCCTGCACTCGGGGTGCGGTCCCTTCGGGGCCGTGGGCCCTCTCCTGGGCGAGGACTGCTGCTTCCTGAGCACACGCACCTCTGCGACATCTCTGTGCCGTGCACACGGAGCCCCGGGACCGCGGGAGGGGCGGCTGACAGGCTGCACGGGGCCTGCCCAGGACGGAATGACCCAGGATCCAGGCCGAGTGTGTGTCACTCCCTGAGCCTCTCGTGTTTCTTCTGACCCCTGGCCATGCCCCGCGCTTCCGTGGGACGGCCTGGAGGGCACACACATTGGCCTCTGAGCCCTGACCGGCCCCGAGCCCGCAGGCTGTTTGTGCACTCTGTGGTGGGAGAGCCAGCTCCGCGACGCCAGGAACGCAGGGCGAGGCTGTTCGTCCATCCTGAGTTATGTCCAAAGTCAAGGGGAGGCGGGAATCCGAGGGAAGAATGATTTCGTAAAATGTTCACAGGTTCAAAGTGTTAGTTCTTGGCCCCCACGAACTGTACTCTTGGGCTGTCAATCCAGAGCACCACAGAACACATGAGCGCAGATCGATGGCTCCACATTGTCACAGCTGCCCTGAGTCGACCCCGAGCAGCCACGCGCCCAGAAAGCACTGCGATCCCTGCTCTGTGCCCGTGCGGCCGGCGGCCAGGAAGTGACACGGCGTGGTCATATGTTGCTGCATCGTTCACGCGGGGACATTCGCTTGTTGAGAATTTTCCATTTGACAGTCTGTCCTCTGTGGGTAGCCGTTGTTCTAGGAGCTTGTAAATAATGACAAGGCTGAGATGTTCCATGTTTGAATTGGGCACAGTGATTTCCACCTTGTTCCCCGAACTTGCTTGCTTGCTTCTGTTGGACACACACAGGCTGCTTATCCCTGTGTCCGGCTCCCGGCGCAGGCCCGTGACTCCGGTTTATGAATGGTGGTGTGACACGCTGTGCACACGTTTGCATGCGGTGGCCGGTCCAGTGTCTCACCTACCTGGCTGGTCTCGTTTAAACCCCATGACAGGCTGCATTCGGCTCTGCAGGGTTGGCACGTTAGAAAAAAATGTTCCAAAAGGCGTTTTGCTTCTAAAAATTGTATAGAGAACAAAACTCAGACTTCCGCTCTGAGGCTGAAGGTATAAAACCAGGGGATTCTGGGCAGTATTTTGGGGACCAGACTCCCCTTTGTCCAGGCTGGGTAGCTGGGGCTGGGGGGCGAGCTGCCTGTGGGGCCGGCTGGCCGTGTCTCTGACCCCATTCCTGAGAAGACCAGCTGCAACAGCCCTTGACCTGCCATACTTCTCACTCTGGAGCTGCTTTGTTTGTTATTGTATTTTGCCTCCTTTCAGAGAGATGCGGAGTGGTCCGTAATAGCAGACACAGGTACACAAGGACCACTGAAATGGAAGTAGGGAGCTCAGACCCATGGAGGAGGACCACCGACTTCCCGAGGTTCTGATTCCTGAGACTGAACCTTGAACGTTGCCTTCTCTTCGCAGTGAAGGGTAGCCCACATCTGCCTAGGTTGCTTTCATGTCCTCTTTGACCTTCCTCACCGTTCTATGAGGTCGATACTCTTCTTTTTCCCACTTTCTAAGGGAGGAGGCAGAAGCTGAGAGAGGGTAAGCGACTTACCCGCGGTCACTCAGCAGCCACAGACCTGCCTTTACACCCAGGTCATCTGACTTCAAAACCCCATGTCCTTTCCATCCCTGAGAGCCAGCGAAGTAGCTTAGGCCCCTGTGACAGTTGGATTAGCATACACTTTTGGAGAAAAGGAGATTTAAAAGGAGATTGGATTAGCATACACTTTTGGAGAAAAGGAGATTTAAACAGAGCTATAGACAAAGTGCCTGGTTTCTGTTCCTTCTGCACAGGCCTCAGCCTTGCTTTGCCGTGGCAGGTTCATCTCCGGGGGGTCCCCTGAAAGCTGGAAGAGCTGCAAGCGCACGAACACCCCAGTGCTCCCCTCCCACAAGCTGCGAACCCGAACCATCTCCGCTGGTCTGGTGGGGGCTTGAGCTGGTTTTCGGGTCCTTCGAGAGCTAATCATGAGCGCAGGGGTGAACAGCTGCTGGAGCCGCGCTGGGTGCCATGACCTCGCCCGGCCCACGGCGACCCCACAAAGCAGGTGGGGGTTACCGACCAGGAAGCCAGGGAGGCTCGGGTGGGTGAGTCTGCCCCAGGGACCGAGCCAGACCGGGGCTCAGGGCTGCGCCTGAGTGGGGGATGGTGACCACAGCTCTGAACCGAGGTGTCGGCCGTTACTCCAGGCGCTCGCCTCCTCGTGGCACTGTGGGGTCGACATTATCCATGTTTATAGACGAGGATGTTCTGGGACCTCAGAGACCCTCAGCGAGGGAGGGGCGGGCAGAGCTGGGGCCAGCATCGAAGCCCGGTGTGGTGCCCCCCCGCCCACGACGTAACGTTGCCTGCTGGAATATCTTCACCTGTCCGTGTTTGTCCCACAGTCGGGGGGAGGGGAGAGCAGGGGACAGTGCCCTGGGTGCATCCCAAAGCGCTGATGCACGGCTCTCCCTGCCCGGCACGGCTCTGGGCACTGGGAGAGAGGTTCTCAGGGGCACAGGCATCAGGGAAGGTGCCGTGGGGACCCGATTCCCGTTTCCTTGGAGAGGCAGAGCCGTAGGCCTAGCTGTGCCCAAAGGGGCAGAGCAGAACTTGGGGGGGTCACTTTCCACGTCACTAAGTGAGGTGGATGATGACACCCACTACACTGACCTGTTAGATTAAATGAGGTCATATTTGCAAAGAACCGGGAAGAGTGCCCTGCACGTGGGAAGTCAGGTAAGAGATCCCCCCTCTGTGGGAGGTGGGTCCCCCTCGCTGTCCTCACTGTGCCCTGTGCGCATCCAGGTCCAGGGCCTCTGGAGGGAGGGGGGACATCACCTGGACCAGCTGCCCTCCTGACGCCTTGGTCCGGCCGCAGTATCCTGACCCCTCTTTCCCGTGCCGTGCTCTCCAGCCTGTGCTGGCCGCCCTCCAGCGCTTGCTGCGTGCAGGCCCCGTGCAGAGCACGTGACACGCATGGTCTCACCTTAACCCCCACAACAGTATCGCGAAGTAGGGGCCGTCACTGGGTCCGGTTCATAGTTCAAGTACTGAAGCTGGTGGAGGTTATGCGAGTGACAGTTACCAGTGATGCGTGGAGCCTCGACTCCAACCCACGTCTCTTTGTCCCCGGGGCCTTGAGCACCTTGCATTCCTGAAGGGGTGATGCTGGACAGGGCTGGGGGAGGGAGAACGGGAGGGACGCTGTCCCAGGAGTGTGGCTGGCGCACCTGCTGTCTCCATAGCCAGTAGCTCAGGGTACATGACCTGGCATTCAGGAGGGTCTGAGCTACGGGGTCTTGTGCAAGCTTCCTGAAGTTTCTGAAACTGAGCTGTCCCGTCCGTAAGGTGGGGCAAGACTACCTCCCTTGTTAGTGTGGTTGCGATCATCAAAAGTGAGTTATGTGTGTAGGGCTTGTGCAGGGGGCTCAGCGCACCTTGGTGCTCAGCGCTCGGCTTCCCTTCCCCCCACAGATGTGAAGGGAGCCTTCCTGGAATTGAACGCTAGCTGCCCCCCAGTCCGGCGGCCGGCCGGCACGGGACCCCGGGGACAGAGCTCAGCCCTCTCGAGACCTCCCCTGTGCTTCCTGTTTGTAGGCTTGGCCATTGCACTGATGTTGAATGAAGTTATCGCTGTTGGGGCAGTTTTGTTCTCTCTCTCGAGAGGCGAGTGGAGCTGCTTTGACAACTGCACAGACTCCTCCTAACCCTTCCCGTTCCCGGGCTGGGGCTGCTCCTTTCCAAACCGTGCGCTGGTGAGAGCAGTCCGGGTTTCAGGCGTCCTGGGCTGCGACGCTTAGGCAGAGGGCTGCAACCGCTGCGGTCACTGGGGCGCGCCCTGGATTGGGTTTGGCTGCCCCCGCGCCCAGGAGCCGGGCAGGGTAGCAGGCCCCCCGGGCTTTGCCCCACATCGCCACGGCCGTTTCTGCTCCTGTTCAGGTCTGCTCAGATAGCTCTGGGCGCCCCAGGAGTGTCTTCCTGTGCTGAACCTGACCCCTCGGCCACCACGTGACGCCCATGTGGGCTTCCTTCCCAGCTGGCGAGTGCTGGGCTGTGGGAGCCGCTCCTTACCTTTCTTAGGGCTCTCGCTCTGAGCACAGCCCTCATGAAAATGGCTTACGTAAGCTCACGATGAAATAAATCATATTAAAAACAAAGCGTAGAGTCAAAACTCACCACCTCCTGGTTATTTCAGGATATCTTGCTGTGCTCTGTGCTCTGTGCTGTGCGCACGGGGGATCGCTATGTAAGCATAGCAATCTGTGTCTTCCCTGGGGTGCCCTGGCAGCTTGAGATCGACCCGGTTGGAGCGTGTGCACCTGCAGCAGATCGCGTGCCCTCCCCTGCCTCTCATGCCTCCCCTAGGCTCATTGCTGGATGTTGACCAGTACCCAGGGTTCACGTCCGCCCGTCTGCGGCATGGCCACGCCCCAGGAGCCGGCGGCCACGTGGCAGCTGGTGGCCAGCCCCGCCAAGGGCGTGCGCACCAGAGCCTGGTGTCCAGGGCCCTTAGGGCCGGACCTGCCTCCCACACCGGCAGTGACACCAGTGGCTCTCATTTATGTGCTTTTGTCCCCTGGAGATGATCGGACAGTAGACTTTTCAGCTGTAAGGCTTGAGGGCCTGCGTGTAACGTGAGAAACACGGTTGAGCGCGAGCAAGCTTCTGTACTTGGGCCCCTTGAATTGCCTTGGGGGCCACTGTCTTTCCTGTCCACCACCTGGACGGTGGGTCCCGTCCCTGGGGTCTTCCACGCCCTGCAGCTGGACGCCTGGGTCCTGGGTGAATGCTGGGGTGAAAACTGACCACACTCCACACGTTATCCGTCCTGTCGGGCTGACGGGGGTCCAGGGCGTCTCCGGG